TGTTATAATTTTTGGTGGTTTAGAATATTTTTCTTATTGGTGACACTGGATCTAATTAATTAAAACATTTCTGGGCGGTGTGTGTATATTCCACGCCGAAAGGACGTGTATTTTTCAATGGATAATGGTATTATAAATTTGTTAGTATAATATTATAATATATTATTATGTAATTTTTTTTATTTAAAAATTTATTTATAAGTTTTATATATTTATTTATTCCAAACTAAATACCTAAGAGCGAGAACCCTCAAAAAAAAAAAAAAAAAAACCTAAGAGCGGGAGGGGCGTCCATTGTTTTGAGCCATTTCCTTTGGAAGACCTACTTGGAAAACGAAAAGGACCTCTAGTCTGTTTATCGGGCTTTCCCCACTAGGTCTAACCCTTCTTCTCGTTCTTTCCTCTAAATCAAATTTAATTTAACAAAATAAAAAAAAATAAACTTTCTTGCAGAATAAGTCACAACACCTTTTAAGTTTGAAATGCGGCCACGGATGGGGTATCGCGCGATCGCCTTCTTTGTTACGTTGAAATCGTTCGAGTCTCGAGTTTTTTTTTTTTATGCATTTGAATAGATAATAAGAAATAATTATTTTTTTTTAATTTTTTTCACTTAACTTAAATTTAAAATTTAAAGTTTTTAATTTAAAATTTCTAATTTTTAACCCCTCTTACCCTCCATTGCGATTACTCTCGTGAGTCTTTGGCGCAAAGAGTCAGTCTCTAACTAATTTTCACCGAAGAAGGAAACACAACCCCCGAAGGGGTACGGCAATTGACACGTATGAATTTAAACTATTAATTAAAGAAGTGAACTTCCATTATTATAGATTATTTTTTATTTAATAATTTTTATTTTATAATATGATGAGCTAAAGTTTAAATTTTCAAACAAGAGACAGTAGTCTTTTAGGTCACTAAATAATAATTTTAAAAACATAACAGTAATTTTATTTAATTTGATAATTAAAAATAATTAATAATTAATACAATAATTAATATTTATTATTTAATATATTAAAATTATTTTTTTAAATTATAAGTTA